CAAATTATTTTTGATTTTGATAAATGAAATATAGTACATATCAATGATTTTGATAAATAAATTTACTTTTGATCTTATGTAGTAGTCTCATCTTAATTTCTTCTATTAATGTTTAATGTTAAGTAAATTAACAGAAGGCTATAAGGGATCAATTTAAAATAAATAAGAATATATTTACAAACACGTAATAGTTATTCTAAACATGTAGTCATGCTTGTGTTGTGATTGTTCTTAATTAAGATAATCCATCTAATTAGTTGATTTCATCTCTTGTGGTTAATTCACTAATTTTGTCTTATAGCTCTGTGTTCATCATCCTAAAAAGATCATTATGAATTCTTTTAACGTTGAAATCAAAGTTTACAATTTCATGAAAATCATCCTCTTTCAAATTCTCATTTCTTCACTTGTCAATTGACACGCAGTCTTAATTATTTATCACTTATAACTTTCTAATCAATTATTTAACCTTATACATTAATAGAAGAATTTAACATGCCCCTACTACATAAAATCAAAAGTGAATTTGTTTCAGATAATCCATCAAAATTTATATCCATTTATTTTGGATGGATCTTCTATTTAATTTATTTAACCTTAAACATTAATAGAATAATTTTAGATGATACGATTACATAAGATAAAAATGAATTTAATAATCAAATTAATTGATATATATATATATATATATATATATATATAGTATATTGCATATTATCAAAATAAAAAAAAAATATTTGACAAATTACTTTTAAAAATTTATAAATTTTACAAATTTTGGTAAGCTATTTTAATCTTTAACTTTTAAACTGGAACCAATAAAATCTCATACTTTCATTGACCAAGCAATTTTGAACACGCCAAAAGTCAACGTTAACTATTCATTAATGGAGTTAACGGTTTGACTTTCAACTTGTATAAAATGGCTTGGTCAACGATAATAGGTGATTTTTTCGTGTTTGACCAAAAGTTGATGTATAAAATGGCTTGTTTGAAAATTCATGGTTTTTTTGGCTTAAATTCGAAAGTTCATGGGTTTTTTGTCAATTTTCCCCATTAATAACATCCTAATTCATACTATAATATTTTTAAAACAAAAACACTCACTAAAATTATTTACAAATTAAAAAATATATATATATACATACACATATATTAATCAAACAAAGTATTTTGACAAAAAAACTAGTTTAAATCATAATTAAAATTACTGAAATGATTTTCATCTAAATTAATTAAATAAATGTTAAATTAATTATTTTTATATTTACAATAGTAATATGCTTTTGATATTTGGGAAAATCTCCTAATATTCTTATTTAGTTTTTGTTCCAAAAATAGCACCCAAAATTCAAAGTGATCAAAATATGTTTACTAAAGAGTTGAATAACAATTTTATTTTTACTTTAGTTAATTATATCGTATATCTATATAGTAAATAAATATTCAAAATAAAAAATCATAAATTTGAAAATATAGTTTTTATTTTATCATAAAATAAATTTTAAAACAAATCAGCAAAATCATTTTCTTAAAAAGGTTTAGAAAGACATTTATGAACGCATGATATTTTCTTGAATATGTACAAAATTTTCTTGACTTCAGGATTACCTTCATAAATGTGTTACACTGCTTTAATTTAACTTGTATGTATATTTAGGAAGTTCTTCCTAAATGTGTATTTGATCTTTCTAAAATTGATTTATATGCATGGAAAATATTACTTAATATATAACATCACTCGGAAATTTACGAAGATGCTTTTAAATATTTATAATATCCTTTTAAAATTTGGATAGAAAATTTATGAACGTATTCCAAAAACTTCATGAAGATGTTATACATATTTAAAAATATCTTATTAAATATACATATAATAAAAATTAAGTAACATATACAGAAATATATATATTCATGAAGGTGTTCCTAAACACACTTTTAATAATGTTTTTAAATATATGTTTAGGAAAATTTTATTTAATTTCTGCAATTTTTTGTAAAGTTTATGAAGATATTATACATATTTATCTAGATTTTTTTAATTTTATGAAGATATTATACTTATTCTGAAAGGTTTTCCTAAACTCAAATCTAGGAAAATAGCATACACATTCAAAAAGATATCATATATATTCAAGAACGTTTTTCTAATTATTTTTGAAAAGTTTCCTTAATTTTATGCAAGTTTTTTTTAAAGTTTATGAAGATATATACATATTTATCTAGATCTTTTTAATTTTATGAAGATATTATACTTATTCTGAAAGGTTTTCCTAAACTCAAATCTAGGAAAATACCATACACATTCAAAAAGATATCATATATATTCAAAAATGTTTTTCTAATTATTTAAAAGAAAAAAATGTTTGCTAAAAAAATTTGATTTTTTTAAAATAAAATATTTGAAAAATTCAAAAATGTTAGAAAAGAAATTTTAAATTAAATATATATATATATATGTTTAAATATCTATAGAATATGTCTATAATTGTCATTTACCTATTTGATGAAGCATATTTTGGTCATTTTAACATTCAAAAAAAAATTTAAGATAAATTTTTTTGCAAAATGATTGCTAGCTACACGAATGATACACCACTCCATGGTTACTGAAGTAATGTAAACTACACGAACTAAATTATTCGCAAGACAACATCCCTTAATTTATTATGTGTTATGCTGCTAACACCATATATATATCATCATTCTACTAACTACGCAATGTGCTGAACTTCGAATTCAGCAACTTCTAATAAGGTTTGACCTACGTATATATTGTATTTGTTTTTTTTTCTTGTATGTGCAGTATGTTTAAAAGTTTAGTTGACATACTTCTTATCAGATGTTGCTGAATTCCAAATCTGACACACTTTTATGCTATCAGATTATTGTTATGGTGTTAGCAACATAATGATAGTTCATGGATGTTGTCATATAAATCATATAGTTTGTGTAGTTTTGATACATTTCTTTTGTCAAAATATGTAGCCATCTAGTGGTGTATCGTTCGTGTAGCAATCAAATACTTTTCCAAATTTTCTTTAGGAGAAAACAGCCAAAAAATCTCTACGTTCAAATTAAAGCAAAAAAACTTCCAACTCATGTTTGAGCCAAAAATATATTCCAATTTTCAAAAATTGGTCATCTAAACTCTAATCTTTTGTTGACTCGATCATTTTAGAAACCTATAAAAGTCAAATGTTAAACTAGTAAACATCTATTAACTCGCTAAATGACGCTGCTTTAAAAATTGACTAGTACTTCTTCTTCGACACCAATATCATTATTCTCAGACTCATTATCCTTCTGATCAATCTCAATATCATCTTCATCATCACCTTATTCATCGACATGATTCAGTAGCTCAGTCGTAGGTTCTTTAGCTTCCCTAACACTTTCCAGTTCAGGTCTCTCTTCACGACGACCCGAAGTAACCCATCGTTCTAGTCATACTCTGTGTCATCAGTGGCTCTGGATTTGGAGATTATAGGATGGACGGATTATGGAATTAGAAAATCTAGAATTTTTAATTTGGGACCCTCGTTTCATGAAAAAAGTTATGATTTAAGTGTTTACAGATACAAAACGACACCATTTCGCTTATCTATTAACATATGTCTACATGTTTAACAATTGACTTTTTATGTTTCTAAAATTGCCTAGTCAACAAAAAATAAGAATTAAAATAACTAATATTTGAAAGTTGGAGCATTTTTTTTTGCTCAAACACAAGTTAAAGGATTTTTTTAGATTTTTTTTTTTTTTTTAAGTTCGAGATTTGTTTGGCAGTTTTCTCCATTTTTTAGTGTTATACTAAGATATTTTTCTGATGTTCTTATATCTCATAATATGTTAATAATGATAATTTATTATTTAACCGTTCTTTCATCTTATATTCAACAAGTCATAAGTATACCAAAAATGCACTAATTTCAAACTGATATGCAAGTCATACAAACCGCTTAATAACTCTTGAAGTTGTATTCATCAGCAAACTCTTGCAGCCGGACATGCAACTGCTGCGTTTAAATCAGCCAGACCCTAAAAACACCCTAATGGAGGATTCGCGACCTAAAATTTTAGAAATACAAATATATATATATATAAATATTAATATTTAATTGTGGGCTTCTCAACTTTAAGGAAAAACCAACCCAAAGTTTTCCTATTAGTATACTTTGGGTTGGGTACGTATGTATACCAAAAATGCACATATTTCAAACTGATGTGCAAGTCATAGAAATCGCTTAATAACTCGTGAAGTTGTATTCGTCTGCACACTCATGTAGCTAGATCTGCAACCTATGCGTTTAAACCAGCCATACTCTAAGAACACCTCCAATAGGGGATTATCAACCTATACATATATGTGTATATAAATTTTAGTATTTAATTGTGAACTTTTCAAATTTACGGGAAATCTAACCCAAAGTTTCTATGTTAGAATTCTCTGGGTTGGATTTCCTGTAGAGTCGAAAAATCTAAAATTAAATACTAATACTTATATATATATGTGTGTGTGTTTTGAGAACCCCTCTCCTCCATTGGGGATGCAGTAAGAATATCTATAATAATACTCTATTTCCCCCTTTAAATGTTATATTATATGTAAAAGCAAATGTATCTCTAATGGTACACCAAATCTTACACAAAATATAGAGAGATGAACAATATTACTAGAAATATGGAGTAAATTATTCATTTACTATATTTATAGAGTTATTTTTTCCTTACAAAATGATTCCTCATTTTATAATGTCCATTTTTACCTATATATAATATAAAGAGTCAAGTTGCTCAAAATATTAAAATGTGCTGGATACCTTAAGTTTGGGGAGAAATATTGATGATAGAGAGAGCAAAAATTGGGGGAAATAGGGTAGAGAGTGCAAATAGGATATAAGTTGTGTGTAGGGAGTGCAAATTCTCTAATATAAATTATACATTATAATTTTGTACATTTGAATATTACTTTTTTCTAAAACTTAAAATTCACTAATAAATTATATTAAATTAGAAAATCCAACAACATAATAATAGTTAATAAACTAAAAATATATATTTTAATAATTAAAAAAAGAACAATGACTCATAATAATAATCTTATAACTAAAAAACCTTATCATAGCACATCATTACAATTTAATACTCTGGTAGGTTGTTCCAGAACCACCAAAATCATTAAAAGTTGTTCAAATGAAGCTGATGAAGAATGAGTTTGTTGATCCATCCCTTTTCTTAAGATTTGTGTTTTCTCAACTTGAACATATACTCTAATGTTTGGATCTTCGATCTCAAACGACATTGAATCCCAAGTTTAGACATCCACAAGGTTTGACTCCTTCCTCTGCGAGAATTAACTATGGCTTAGTTTTCGCTTCTTGTTCAGCTTAGCTTTGAGAGGTTTTCGCTTCTTGTTCAGCTTAGCTTTGAGATCAACCACCGTCTGCTCCAACGAACAAACTTTAGCCTTCTCCATGTTCAATTCAGCTTTGAGATTCTTTTTGTTTTCTTCAAGTTCTTTGACTCGAGCAGAATCATCAACTATTTTCTTCCTCACCCAGCAAATCTCATTAAGCCTTGTCTTCAACCATTCTAGCTTGAAGCCCGTTTCTGTTAGATCAGCCAACTCGATGCGAGAGTTGCTTAGCTCAGCCTCGGAGAAGATATGTGCAGGCTTGTTAAGTTTCCAGATGAGCCCAAGAAGGATATTCATGTATGTTGTCTTCACCAATTGGCTCTTTGGTTTGAAATTCAAAGCAATGTCCGGGTGGTCGAAGAAAATCCGATTCACATGATTAACCTGTCGACCAGAATCTTCTTAGAATTGATCAGAAAAGAGAAAAAAAAATATTGTGTATAATCATACCTGAGAATAAAGAACTTGGAAACCTCTGACATCTAACGTCTCCTTCCCAGTAACTTGTGATTCATCAACAACCTCAAGTACCTGTACTTCAACTTTTACTATCAGTTTGTTCTTCTCAACAAACCCATTTTCTTGAAGATCTTTAAGAGGCACGGCCCTTAGCCAACCCCAACTTGGGAACACAGCGCAAAAACATGACGAAAATTCTATAATACAAAAACAGAAAGATTCAGCAGGTTTATATCTCCTCTATTATATATATATATCAAGGAAGATAAGTTTTTAGTTAATTACCAGGTTTTCTGTAGACATCTTTGCCAGATTGATTCAGCAGAACGAAGGAATAACTAGTTTGTCTTTTCCATCCAAGTCGCAGGGATCCAGTATTGGCAACGTGGAGGTACAGAGATAAGTGACCTACAGTATTGTTTCCTTTGGGATACACCATGAGATACCTGTCAAAAGCTTTATTTATAAGCATAATAATAACAGAGACTAAATTACTTTATTGAAGCAAGAGGATGTGTTGAATATATAATATTTGCCTTTACCATTCGCAACCACCGCTTACGAATTTTGGTGATTCTATCAAAGCCCCCTTCTCCGAGAAATTATCTATCTCAAACGTGAAGCTTGTCGGCTTCTGTTTCTCCATTTGTCAACCAAATAAAAAAGCTGTTCTTTTCTTAGGCTTTTTTACTTGGAACTAAAACGGCAGCTTTTTAACATGAATGTCACAATTCAATTGTATAAATCAATTGCCAGATAAGAAAAATGAAACCCTATCTAATCAGTCATAGAAGCATCACGATCCATACAGGAAAGGAAAGAGAATTTAACCGGAAGGAGATTATCGTAAGTAAGAACCAGATCGAAGTAAAAAGGCGATAAGAATGCATGAGAGAAAGTTAAAACAAAGACTCACCAATTAGCTCCACAATCGATGCAGAGATGCAAAACTCCACCACGAATGTCCAAAGTTTGATCCACCGTAAGGAGAATTCAGATTTATTGGTGAACTGCAGTAATAAGCAAAAAGAATAAGCAAGTTGAAAGACTTCCGATAGTCTATTGTTGGTCATATAATATATTCATAAAAACAGAGAAAAATTAAAGCATCTTTAGTGGAGACAAACTCTCAAGTCTCTCAACAATATTACATTAATAAAAAAAAATATGTTTGGTTTTGTTAAATCACTTGAATTATTGGAGAGAATGAGTGAATGACATATGTCTTGAAAGTTTTTTTCCATCTCCCCATAGCTTCGGGCCTTCGGCTCTTCATCTCTCTTCCATATTTTTTATTATCTTTCTAACTTTTCTTTTTTTTTCTATACTTTAAAATGTTGAGAAAAAGTGTGAGAAACCTTTGATGCAGATGTTAGAACATCCGCGTAGTAGGTGGACATCTCATGAAAACTCTGACACTATATATTAATAAAAAACAAGAGAGAGAGTGTTAAGAAAAAAAAATATATCATAGAATTTTTATAAATTAATATTTGATCAATTAATACATTAAATATGTCTGTAAAATAATGTAATTCTATAGTTCTAAATTGAGTTTTGATTCGATTAATATATCGATAAATTAAGATTTTTCTAAATTAATAAAAAAATAAAATTTTGGTATAGTCTCAACATTATTAATTTATAAAAGTTTTTGCAGAGTGACTTTGCTATAGTCAGAAGAGATTTACATACTTCATGTCCTCATATGAAGAATTTTTATATATTATTTATTTTAATTTTGATTTACAATAAAATTATATTAATATTAAATTCATGATGTACTCTATTAAAAAACGGTCCCACTAATGATGTCTTTACTGTATTACCGCCCATTTTCGACACATAGAAATAAGAGATAATTGGTTAAAGTGCCCTATTTGGCACCTATAATTAGAGACTTGCCCATGATGTGACAATCACTTTTCTTTGGACCATTTTGCCCTTTTCTACACTCTCTCTCCTCTCTTTGACATCTCTTCTCTTTTTTTCTCTCTTCAATCCCTAATTATTTTACAAATCTCTATCATTCTATATACAATTAAATTTTAAATTTCATTATTTTTTCATAAGTGGCTTTGAATCCTCAATTTTTTGACCTTTTTTTTTTCTCTCCAATCCCTAATTATTTTACAAATCTCTATCATTCTATATACAATTAAATTTTAAATTTCATTATTGTTTTCATAAGTGGCTTTGAATTCTCAATTTTTTGATGATATCATTTTTCTGGGTTTTAGATTCGACGTCGTGTTAGCGGTTAAAAAATATTGTAGATGTTAACAGAAGTGTTAGTTGTTAACAATTATTTTTACGCTTCGCGTTAATAAATGTGTTCGCTATTAACAAATATTGTAGACGCTAACAGAAGTGTTAACTGTTAACAATTATTTTTACGCTTCGCGGTAATAAATGTGTTGGCTGTTAACATATATTGTAGACGTTAACAGAAGTGTTATATGTTAACAAATGTTTTTACGCTTCGTATTAATGAGAGGAAAGAGAAAGGGTATTCTCGGCATTTCCTTGCCAAATTGTTGTGTCAGTGTCCTTTATGTCCAATCAATGGTATTTTGCTAATTTGAACTTCAAATATGGGCAGTTCACTAAATCACTCTAGAAATAAAGGCAATAGTAGCTTCATGTCCTAATATACTTTTGGGATCTCTTTATTAATTGTTATTTAGTTTAATTAATTAAACTAGATTTTAATCCATAGTTTTTAATATAGATATTTTCAGTTGATCATTTTGATAAAATATATATGAACCTATTTTTTTCTAAAACAAAAAAATTTGAAATTATTTTATTATAATGTTTGAATTTCATATATTATTATATATATAACATAGATATTTCCAGTTGATCATTTTTGATTATCTGCATGAACCTAATTTCTTATTAAAAACCAAATAATTTAAAATTATTTTATTATAATGTTTAAATCTCAAACATTGTTTTTATATCCAATGCAAACCCATGATGAAACGAATAGACGCAAAGATCCGTATAACACTCCTATATAACATATTTAACATATATAATTTGCTAATATTACTAATTTTCTTATCTAAAATTATGTATACAGTATACTCAATAAGTTAATAATCACTATAAATTAATAAATTTCTTCGATCTCAACTTGTACCGGTTTAAATTTTGAAATTTTGAAATAAATCGATAAAATAATAAAATAATATTTTTTACAAAATTCTATGTAAATATATTATCCCATTAAAATTATAAATTAATAATTTATATATATGCATAGTTTATATAAGTAAGTACTTCTCATTATATAAGTAAGAACTTAGAACTTATCATTATATAAGTAAGAACTTATCATTATATATTTAGCAAAAAAAAATTATAATTATATTGTTTGTTTTATATTCACAACTGAATTATCTTTATAATTTCCTACACTTAATATCTTTTAGATGAAATTTAATAATATTATATCTAAAACGATATTTAAATTCTATGAGATATATAGTATAAGCACTAAATAATATAATATAATTTATATAAAATGTCAAATTTCAAAAAAATAATAATTAATGTCTATACACTGCAGTCGCTATTAAGAAAGATGATCGAAGACCAGAATTAATGGTGATCAGATGACAGAAAAACAAACACCATTTGAGTTTTACCCAAGTCGACCAAAATGATAACATCGTCATCGTAGATTTATTAAACAAGAAAAGGAGTGAAAACAAAGACTTGAGAAGGATTGTAGAAAAAAAACTATGAAAGAAAATATAAAGAACCACTGGTGCAAGCCGGCGGTCTGAAATCGTGAAAAAAATATAATGATTTATTGTAACTGCTGTGACATTGATTTATTGTAAACTAGTATTCATCGTGTGCTATGCACAGGTATATTTTTGCTAACAAATAAGACTAAGTCTCATTTATATAATACTAAAACTACATTTATAAATTTTGATGAGTCTATGATTATACATAAACAAGCCATTAAACTTACCAGTTCTCTGATTAACCACAACATATAAAATGAACATCAATTGGTTTTAAAAATGTGTTTTCCTTAATTCTTAACTTACAAATTACAATCTATGGTTAATTTCTCTTGTTACATTCATAGACGCTATACCCACTGTACATCAATGGTGTTTTCAGTTTACATTTTGTTGTTAAAACTATTTTTACAGTCGAAAAAAATTAGAACATAAGCACGTTTACCTTTAATCAGAATTTGTTCCTCATATACTACCATGTATATATACGTATTCTATCTTCCTCTTTTCTCTTTTTTAGCCAGATCTTGTTTTCAATCTTTTACACTGGTTGAATTAATCTCCAGTAATTCAGAGCCATTGAATCATTGGAGGATTCAGTCTTATGGAACTTGGCACTGACTCTTATATACAGCCCCAAGTTTGTATTATGGTATTGAAATTAAAAAGGACTGTAGTTTTTTCCTAATCTAGTTTCCATTGATCTAGACTTTGTTGTCATTCATTTTACTGAGTTTTAGAAATACTAGAGATTTTTTCCGGGCTACGCCCGGATTTTTTCTTTATATTTTAATTTTGTTTACTTTATTATAGAATATATTTGACTACTTATTCTATGCTTAAACTAAATAATTTATATAAACTATTAAAAAATTAAAAAAATTGTAGTATTTTTGGTGACTAAAATTATTAAAATTCATTTTTTAAATATCAAAATACATATAAATTGGTAATAAACTGAAGAAAAAGTTTTTTTTCCAAATTCAATTATTCTTTAACTTGTTTATTTGAATTTTATGAAAATGTGGTTAAATTAACATATAATTCAAATATTTTAACGTTAAAATCAACCAATATATATATATATATATATAAATTTTAATATTTATTATTTATTATTTGGGGATAACAAAATCTATATGATTTCGCTCTTAAGTGTTAAGGCAGTGAAGAAATGAAGAATAATTAAAATCTAAAAGGGGTGTACTTAAAAAGAATCTTGAAATTATTTTAAATACTTTTGTTTCTATTAATCAAATAAAGAGTATGAAGCTACCCTTAAATTGTATAATTTTTAGTTAAATTAAAATATTTTACACTTATATAAGAACATGAATTGTGTATGTTTATAACCATCCACTTTAAACTATTGAATTGGTAGAAGATTTAAAAAATTGTATGTATGTATTCATTATTGTCTTGTGTCTAACATATTCAAAAATAATTTAAACTTACAGTTTGTAATTTTTTATTACTGGAAATCATATATAGAATAATAAGGAAGATGAGTGAAAACTAACTTATCATTGTTCAAACCAAACCAAACTAAAGAACAAAATTTTAAACAAACCATTATCAAAATTTGATTTTTAAATCATATAAACCAAATGACTCGGTTTTGTTTTTGTTTTTGTTTTTGTTTTTGTTTTTGAACACCGCCAAATGACTCTTTAAATTAAGAATCTCGACCTCGTTTAAAGGACCTTAGTCTTTCTCTTATGTTGGTTTGCAGCTTTAAAGACTTTTTTCATAATAACTCTATGTGACTGGATTAATATATGATTTTGGAGCTGAATTTGATTAATAGATCTGAGGAAGTTGCAGGCCAAAAAAAAACTGAGACATACAATTGCACATGCTATTAAGTTGTTAACAGTCGGCTATAGACCAAGTTGTTTGTAGCCTTAATACAGAGAACACCGTTTTTAAGCTACAATCCTAAATCAATTAGGATGATTTGAAAATGAAAACAAATATTCTCTCACAACATATAATCGCTTGGTATGTTAGAATGATTTTAATATATATTATTTAGACATTGTTTGTGAACATAAATTAATTTTTAAACCTCAATCAATGTGTTCAAAAAAAAGCTCAGTAGATATATTGTTATTATAAATCATATTTAAATCATTCATTTACTCAAAACATTAGAAAACATTCCAGGAATTCAGGTTATCGAGCTTTCCACATTTGGCAATAAACTTAAATGAGTGCAAACTCATCAGAAAAGAAAAAAAAAACAATCACCCCTTTTTATTGATTCTATGAACCAAACATGTCAAAGATATTGTAGCTAAAGATTCATAAAGATATAAAACTTTCAGTCTCATAATTCATCCTTGGTCGCATCATTCTTGTTATTACCATCACCATCTTCACCATCCTTGCTTTGCTTAAGCTTGTCGACAACATCATCAAGAGGAGGATCTCCAGGTCTTCTCGTTGAAAGTTCCAGCATAGCTGCAGCGGTCGCATTTCTCACGTGCTTTATATGCAGGCCAATGGCGTCCAATGTTCTGACAATT